CTCTCTCTCTCTCTCTCTCTCTCTCTCTCTCTCTCTCTCTCTCTCTTCTTCTTCGTCGTGGTCTCCTTGCAGGTGCGCGGCGGCTTCTCCCACCTCAGGTCCGCTATGGCGGACTGTCACCTTCAGCGGCCACCTCTGCTATGGCGCCTCAACCCTGCACCCGACTTCGCGTATGGAATAGCGGGAACCTGCTCCGATACCAATGCAATCAGACTCAACTTATTCACACTTTTTATGCACGTGAACAGCAGCACAACAAACTGGCGACATGCGCCCACACAGTACTCAGAGATATGGCTTCCAGGTAAGTTCACTTCCACTGGCTATGGCGACTGAGCGCCCAACATCCCACTGTTCACACACCCTGGATCACCCTGGATATCCCACACGCATCACTCGGAACACGCACGCAACACACACACATACTACTACAGCTATGGCAGCGCTCGCTGCCTCTACCCTATCGCTATGCTACACTTCTCTGCCCACTTCGACTTTGGGCCTACTGCAGACCTCCTCGCACAAGACGCTGAGGCAGCACTTCCGCATGGCTTCCGCAGGAATGAATGAATGGCTGTGCGCAGCCTCTTGATTTATACTTCTGTGACTCGTTGGTCTGCCCTGTTTCCCTGGCCCACGGTGTGCACAGTCCCAGACGGTACTTGCTTGACTGGACCGGACTAACTGGACTGTGACTGCTGACTCTGCGTGGTGGACCTCCACCACTTGCCCACTTGCCTAGACCTACAGTGGGCTGACTTCCAAAAGGCCACTTCTAGAAACCTCTATCTGACCTTTCGGTACTGTAGCAGCTACGACTCTGCCCTTTCAGGTAAGTAGCAGCTACGACTTTGACCCTTTGGACAGTCTACAGCTACGACCTCTGGACTGTCTAGACTCCTACCCGACACGTCTACAGTTTGAATCCCTCATACCCTGTAGCCTACGAGATCCTACCTACCACTGGCGGCCCTACAGGTCGCAGGTTCAAATCTACGGGTGGACATAGGTACTGTACACAGGTAGGGTGGGGAACTAGGGATCGAGCCCTGGAATCTGCATCAGCTACTGGGAACTGGTGAATACCGTTTCATTGGCTAGTCACCTTCCATCTGGATTTGAACTTTGGCTACTGACCTTCCATCTGGACGATAATGACCGGGTGTTCTATTCGGGTGAAGACGGTGGTACTTTCCTGTACCTATCTTAACTGAGACTAACTCCAATTACAGCCAGACTTGAGACCTGGATGAATATGACGGCACTAACATCCAGAGCTTAGTAGAAAAAGTCAATAGTGTGAGTATGCCCTCAGTGAGTCAGTGGTATGTTTGCTCCTGGTTGGGTACAGGGAAGAGCACACAAACTTCTTACATAATCACATTGACGTCACTTATCGGTTGCCAGCTTAGGGGAATGAGCTAGAATCAATCAAATATGGGCGGGAGTGCACTGTGGAGCCCGTGTGACTTTAAGCAGTTGCGTTTCAAGTTAACTGAGAAGTTTTCTTACACAACCACTTGAACGGTACTTTATGGGATGCAATGACATGGGCGTTTCATGCATAATGATGGCTACCCTGTTCTCTCTGACCTTTCACCCCTATCGCTGCTACTTCATAGAATGGACCTCTCTCTCTCTCTCTCTCTCTCTCTCTCTCTCTCTCTCTCTCTCTCTCTCTCTCTCTCTCTCTCTCTCTCTCTCT